ATATATATATATATATAGTCACTTCTTCAGTTAGCTAGCTAATGTTATTATGTATTGAGGATTGTGTCATATACTGGTTGACAAATATCTGACATTTCATAGAAAAGTAAAGGGGGCTCTTGTGTCAGCTTTGAGGCTCACCTCACTGTTGTACAGCCAGAGTCTCATGTCCTCCTCCTTGATGCGTAGTCTCTGGGACAGGTATAGATGGATGTCCTTGATGGTGCCCATGCGGCTGAAGCAGCCTGTGTAGGCCAACACCCTCTTTAGAGGAGCATTGGGGGATGGCACGTTACCTGCTGAAGTGCACAAAGAAGAAAGGAACATTCACAAACTGACCCAAGCACACAATCTGAACACATGCACACGTTTAAAACTCAGCTGAAGCTTCTTCTTCCCTCGTATGCACAAGCTCACAGATTCAAACAACTGATCGATAACAGCATTCTGGTGACTGAGGATTAGTTGTAAGGAAGCAGCAAGAAAGGGCTTTTTTGTCAATCAGCACAGACTTGATTGGTCAATCAACTTAGTGGATTTAGTGGACCCAGATTGGATTAAATCAAATACAAACCAATAAATATTAGTCCTGTTAAATAACTGATACTGATTTCAAAATGATTAATAAAACTTTTAATATCTGATTTTCAAATGTTACTGTTTTTCTATCAACACAGCTTTGCTATTCGATTATACCACAAAATGAACCGTCCTCTCCACTTGTTCGAGTGCTCTACTGTTGCCCCAGGCTGTCAGGACAGACACGAAGACATTATGCTGAATATGATGCATAATTAGATCCATTTCAGATATTTGGCCACATGCCTTAGACAGGGTCTTATTGCCCAGCAAATACAAGCTGCTGCTCAGACAGAGTATGAGTCATGATGGAAGCCACAGCTCCACCAGGGATTCAGGTCCGCACTGTGGCCTGAAACCTGATATGCTGACTTGATTTGGACCAGTGCTCTCATGCTGAGTGCTGATGCCCCGACCTGATTACAGTGGTGCAACTGTGTAAATCTCCACTTTATGCTTTGTCATCTGCTTTCTTTTCGCAGTGAAGCATTTTCAGTTTATACTTGTCCATTATATCTATTTAGACGTAATGCAAAGGGACAATAAACACAGGAGTGAAAGGTAGTTTCTATTATTGAGCGAGTGAGTGGGTCTATATATAGGGTTTCTATTGTGAGTACATTAGACCTGAATTGACTGAAGTGGAAATGACTGAAATAAAATTACTTTATTTGCTACAGTCATCAGCCTAAATAAAGTGACAGGAAAGGAAACTTTATTTATACCTGGTATTCACATATGCTTGATTCTGCATTTGCTATATTAATACCAACTAACTGCTCTGTAATACTGGATGTTGTCATATCTGCCTGCGTCTGGCTGAGCCATAAAATAGTGAAGAGGTGGCAGTGGTTACAGACTGGATTAAATGAGAATCTTCCATCTTTAAACACATTATAACAACACTGACATGAAGACCAAACAGGCAAAAGGTATTCAAACTAGCCAGCTTGTTGTTGATTGGTTCAATGTTCCAAACAAGCAATAACAAGCTTAGACAACTCTGTAATTAAACATCAATCTTGGAGCCATTCGGGTATTGCCGGATGACATTTATCATCTGGGGGCAACAGCCAATGTTTCAGGGCTACTGGTTTACCCAGTGGATATCCTGAAGAAGGACAACGGATATCTAGAACAAGACTTTCCCTAGAAACCAATTAATTCATTAATTTTATATGTACAGGGCCAAATTATTTACAGAGAACCAACAGTTCCCACTATGAGCAAGCACTTGGGGTCAGTGCCAAGGAAAAACTTCCTTTTAGAAAGGCAGAAACCTCGAGCAGACCCCACCCAGATGGGTGTAGAGCACTAGAACAAGTGACGTCAAAATGAATATTCGAATGGCAAGGTATGTGAAGATTGAAAGGGTTGAATTATGCAACTTTTAGAGTGATCAGCAGTCTTTCCCCTTCATGGGCCATTTGTTCATTCCACTTCCCACTCCAGAGCAGTGCCAGGGCTGGATCAGTCCACTCTGGGAGGATTAAAAAGGGGGGATGCGGGGTAGTTCAATGAGAAGCATTTGTCGACGGCTTGCTCTGGTCTTGCTGCAGGCTTACGTTACCTCTTGGTGGGGGCAAATACGGTGGGAACATTCGCAGGCTGGTCATACCCATATTGACCCAGATGTTGGACTGGGGGGTGCGTGTGGCCGGCTGCTGGCGGAGGAAGAGGAGGTAGCGGGGGAAGAGTTCCAGCTCTGGTTGCCCTGTCTTGCTCTCCAGGATAACCTGCGTGGGTGGAAGGGAAAGTTTCAAGTGTCTGCAAGTTGAGTATTATACTTTTCAAGAATGGAAACCAGAGTGCATCGATCAGTCTGGAAGCCTACGACCTATGGGTTTGTCTTTAAGGTCGCTTGGCGCATAGGTCTAGACCAAATAAAAGAAATTGTACATTATTGCTTTTAGTTAGTTATTAGTTATGATGTGTTACCATGGTTACCAAATAATGTTCCATAATTATAGAGGATTTCTTAACAGTTGCCACATTCCATGTGCTGATTGTGCACAAGCGCTCAATGAAAGATGAACTGAGACCCACCTGTTAAGGCAGTCTGTGCTTTAGGGAATATGCCTAATGATCTGGATACCAGAGACATAAATTAACTCTCACTCTCATGGCTTTTTAAAGAGCCTCCCACCCTGAACCAATGGATAGGTACTGTAAACAGCATATACGGCATGGAACGCATGACATTCAGTTTATGATTACAGAAAGAAAAGGGATTAGAGTATTGGTCAAAATGGGACACATACCTGTCTACCAAAGGTTATGCAAGGGATAATAAGGAATCCCAGGAATTAATGGACGACGCGGAGGACTTAGAACCTCCGCGAAGTCCACTCATTGTTGTTAGTTTGTTGC